AGAGTCAAAATTGGTTTAATTGACCTTTCTCATAAAATGTTTTCTCATTTAATTCATATCAATTATTCTCATGATTTATTTCAACAAATCATTTCAATATTTACATTCTAAACAAATTCTTTATTTACTCTTGATTTGGGTCTTTACTCAGGTTCCCAATCAAGATCACACAATAAATCAACATGTTGGATTTATCTCTATAAGATTTATCCCAATTATGTTTTTTTGGATATCAATATATATTTTATTCAAGCCCAAATCCCAACAACAATTTATTTTAATCAAAATAAATTTTGTTTAATTGAATATTTAATTCAATAAATTTTAGGGTATATTTTGGGGCGTTACATTTCTCCCCCCCTTAAAGGAATTTCATCCTCGAAATTCTTCTAAGGCCCAATGTTCAACATTTTGTAGTGATCTCACTTAAACATAACCGTGTCATGCTCATTTGCTTAAACCATAATTCCGTCATTATCCATACGGATACGTAATCTCAAACTGTCGATCGGTTGTACAGTAGTTCGTCATTCATCGACCTTATGTTGAAACATTTCTTCATTCATCTTTATGTTGAAACAGTTCACTGTTCGGTTGGTACGTAATCCACATGACTCATAGGGTGGATTATCGATTCTTGTGTTCTGCATTAAACTATTTATAGTTTAAGGGTCTGGTTAGAAATGTTGCCTTAAACTAGGAATAGCTAAGAGCTTGTTATAAAATGAGTTGGCCTTAGATTAAGAATAATTTAAGAGCATGGTTGAGATATTGAATATCAAATGACTTAAAATAAAATATTGAGAATATCATGAATGTTTGAATCATATATTGTGTGCATGATATCAAATGGTTGATTATGAATTGAGATTCAATTTATTTGGATGTTCGACGCTTTAGATATGCTTACTCAGCTTCACCGCTGAGCGTGTAGTGTGTTTTATTTGCTACACGCAGGCAGGTAGAATGAGTGAATGACATGTTCTTGGCAGCAGAAGGGGCGAGACAGTCGTGGTGGATCATTGAACAAAATAAATAATTATGTTGTTATGAGACATGTTTGAAAGTCGCTTCCGCATTATTATTATTAAACACTCCGTATTTTCTACAATTATGTATGGAATATTATTATTTATAAATAAAAATGTTTGAAATGTTTTAAATTTTTACGATTACCAAATCAATACTTTAATCCGAAAGGGGCTGCAGACCTGGACGGATTAGGGTGTTACAATTAGTGCATATTTTTTCAAACCATAGGGGGCACCAGTGTTCATTTCTTACATTTCTTCTTTTTCTTTGTATATCTCCTTTTTTCCGTTCATGGTTTGTTTTATTAATCATGTT